TCTTTCATAATTCTGACATATTGTCAAGAGGAACCAATCATTGGAGAAGGATATCATGTTTGGTAAGGTGGAGGGTCAGAGAAAAAGAGGAAGACCCCCAGCAAGATGGATTGGCAAGTAGCAGCATCAATGGGCTCAAGCATGGCAACAATTGTGAAGTTGGTCCAGGACCAACAGTGTTTCGTTTTGTTGTGCATAGGATAGCTATGGGTTGGTACCAACTTGATGGCACCTAACAACTACAATAAGTGTCAAGACACAATTGACTAAAACTTTTGTTGTAAACTGCTGTCAGTTCTGACTCATAGCAACCCTGCATAGTACACTCAAGCAGCTGTAGGTGGGTTTGAACAGCTGTCTTAAGAGTGGTAGTGGTGGTCAACTGCCATGGAGTCAGTTCTGACTCATAGTGACCCTACATGGGGTTTCCAAGGCTGCAAATCTTCATGGAAGCAGAAAGCCTCATTTTTCTTCCACGGAAAGCTGGTATTTTCTAACTGCTGACCTTTAGATTAGTAGCCCTACTTGTAAATACTATGCTACCAGAGCTCCTAAGAGTAGAGAAATATAAATGGAAAATTATCTAGCAAAGAGAAGAAATTGTATATGCTGAAATCAAATTGTCTTGTCCTTACAAATGCTTGTAGTTTACTTTGCATATATGTTTACAATAGACTGGACAATGAAACCTAAAAGTACAATGATCTCTCAGAATGGTAGACAACTAGTTTACTTCAATGGTAATACGTGTTAATTTTAATTAGTAGGTTGACAACATAGAATGAATCTCAGTCTGCTTTGAATGTTGTTTTAAAAAGAAGTTCGGTTCTTGTACCTTACACACTGTTACTTTCATTCCTGTCCATAGGTGAAGCCATTAGCACCATACGAGTAGTGGTGATATAAGATAAGCACTGGATCAAAAGGTTGGTTTGAACCACAAGGTTGGTAGTTCAAACCCACCACTCACTCCTCAGAAATCCTATATAGGGTTGCTATGAGTTGTAACCAACTCGACAGCACTTAAAAACAACAATATAGTTGTATGAGGATGAGTCAAAAATTATCTGCACCCCAGTTATATTTTTAAATAAGAGAATAAGAAAGTTTGTTGACAGATGGATAAAATATTGAAAAGCAAGGAGATTATGTAAAAAAATGATGCATTTGTCTTTTCTAAAACTTGATTAAAATAAATTCTACAACCAGAGTATATAATTTTTGTCTCACCCTCAGAATACCTGAATGTGGAATATAGTATGGAGTTATGTATACTGTTTTATATCTGTTTGTCTGTCTTAATGAGCATTCATAAATATGCCTACACAGATACACAACACACACAGTGGACATGTGTGCATCTGTGTAAATTGCATCCTATTTTCTGTCTCAGTAGGTTACTTGGAAAAATGGACCCCACATTATTTTAATCTTCATGGATTCATTTTTATTATATTTTTTCCAGTTCCCAAAACATATTCATGAACAGTTTCTTCCTGTGAATTATTGCTACTTAGAAAGTTTGACTGTAAATAGTTTTTATGAGGAGATGGACCACATTTTCTAATATAAAAGGATATCATGTTTGGTAAGGTATAGGGTCAGAGAAAAAGAGGAAGACCCCCAACAAGATGGATTGGCCAAGTGGCAGCATCGATGGACTCAAGCGTGATAACAGTAGTGAGACTGGCCCAGGATCGGGCAGTGTTTCATTCTGCTGTGCATAAGGTTGCTATGGGTCGGTACCGACTCAATGGTACCTAACAACAACAACAAGGATGTAATATGGCAGTTACATGATGATTCCCTTTGATGGGATTTGTGTGATAAAACAATATGAGAGTTCAGAGTGAGCTCCAAAACCCTTAATCCCACCACAACACTGAACCTATAAGGAAGTTTTATCATGGGGGTAGCCTGTAACTTCTTTAATCTTACAATGAGAAAAGAAGAGGGAAGTGAACAGAGAGACCTAGAACCATCTAGAAAGAAAATCTGGGAGTGGAGTGCTTCCTTTGGAACTCAAGTCTATGCACTCTGTAGATCCAGGAAAAGTTTGATGCCAGGACATAGGGAGATCTCCAAAGAATGCTGGATGTACAGATGCTGAAAGGAAACAAGGACCTTTTCCTAGATCTTTCTTAAATGATATATAAAGTATGATTATATACTTGATGTGGTACTGTGTGATAATGCACTAGGCTGCAAGGTCAGTTTGATCTGCAAGGTTGGCGATTAAACTCACCAGCCACTCCTTGGAAACCCTGTACAGGGTCACTATGAGTTAGAACTGACTAGAAGGCACTTAACAACAACAAAGTATTATTAGCATGCCTTTAGTAGTGCCAAATATCACTAATATTTTGCAAATCTGGCTGCAATATTTCTTCCTTTATAACATGGGGTTTTCTGGGTTATGAGGGAGGCAGCATCACCTCTCCAAAGATGTCCTAGCACTCTCCTGACCTGCTCACTGTTGGGGATTCCCTGGCTCTTGTGTATGGTTGTGAAAATTGTTTATAGATTTGTGCTTGAAGGTTATTTTTGTATTTATTTTCATTCCACCTGTGGCAAAGTATAACGCAAGAGACTTATTTAAATTTATTCCCTAGAATAGACAATTCATCAATGGAATTATTAGGTAAAGTGGACATATTTTATAAATACGCTGTTAACTTCTTATCATTTCATATACAAAAGAACTATTTGGCTTTCAATTGTCTATAAAATGCACTTTTGTTTTACTTTGTTTTCCCTTATGGAAAAAAAAAAGCCTTAAAGAAACCGAAAAAAAAACAAAAAAAAAAAAAAAAAAAAAAAAAACAGAATTTTTTTTTCCACAATTCTTAAAAGTGACAGAGGTATGGCGGTGGGATTCAGTTACTGTTCCCTGTTTGTACAGCTGCACTGCACTGCTTGAAGGCTTGCATTACACACAGTTTGTGATAGGAAGTAAATGCTTTTAAAACAACTAAAGAAACAAGTCTTTAACCTCCACCTTTGTGAATTCTTTGTTCTACTATTTAGCTTCTGTGGAGATAATGAAGAAGCAGTTCAAATATATATTATAACCCTCATGTTAAACTTCACCTTACTGTCTCATCCCCTGTGGACTCATTGTGGTGCATTAGGATAATTTTAAAAAAAAACAAATACTAAAATGTTCAACAAAACAGACAAATATTTTTGTTTGTGTTGAATAGTTATATATAATGATTTCTGAAACATTCAATAATGGATGTGCTCTAAAGAATAAATAGTGCTTAGATTATTTTTATGTCCCAAACAATAAAATGCTTTCTAAAACTTAGGAGATACATCAAAGTTAAGAACATCTAATCAACTTCCACACTAAGTCTGAAAATATACAGGGTCAGAGAAAAAAGAGGAAGTCCCACAATGAGATGGATTAGCACAGTGGCAGCAGCAATGGGCTCAAACATAGCAAGCATCGTGATGTTGGAGCAGGCCCAGTCATCAAAGTTAAGGAACTCTAATTTTTGGATGCAAGATAAATTGCAAGGCAGTAGAAGAGCAATCTATATAATGCTTGATAAAAATAAACAGCCTTCATTTCCTTTTGTTTTATGAAGACAAAGAGCAACTATGTGGGATGATTTTAGAAATGGCATAGTGTTTTTGTGAATTATAGAAAGAATTATATCTAACCACTTGTTTACATATTTCAGAAAATAAAAATGAAATCTTAAGTCTTAGAACTGAATATTTACTTTATTTTGTCTTGTGTTCCAATCCTACCCAAATCTACAGACTTTGAAATTACTCATAAGGGTCAACAGGAAAGTATATTATATAATATTTCATGTCAAAATTTATGCACTAAGTTCTTCCATCAGACAGTTCTTCTTTAATTACAAATATGTTATCACATACTGAAAAATCATCACTATTCACTGACTGTATTGTTACATCATTAGCAGTTAGTTTTTATGATCTGCCATATGTTACCAAAGTGTAAATTTTGGAAGTTATTTCCCTTGGCTGGCGGCATTTAATTATGTCATATACACTATACGTATTACTGGCTATGTTTTAATATTTTATTTGTATATACTTTATACCCTGCATTCCCCCCAATGATTTTAGACAGCTTATTTTAATTATAATTATGTTGGCTTGCTTTCTCAGAGATGTTCCAGATTTTTCTTCCCCATTCAATAGAGCAGCTTACATAACTGAAAATGGAAGTTGCTTTGTTCTTATTCTCATGTCTTATTTCAAATTATGTGTTTTCCAGAAGTTAATATAATGTGGGCTGGACACCAAACACACCATAGCTCTGAAGACTATAACTTATCCACAGCATTGCGACAGTCTGCCTTCCAAGTATACACTTCCTGGGTAAGTGGCATGAAATTGAATGAATGTGATTGCATATACATGTCTGAACTGTTCCACCCAGTAAACTAATAGATGTTGTGCTAAAGTTAATCGAGTGGTGTTTCTGCTAGTGTCTTCACTTGACTCAAAACATTTGCCTTGAGATAATGGCAAGGTGGGAAAGTGGCTGCTTGTGTCTTTCATACTGTCAACTAGAAGGGCAGTATCAAATCATCTCAATTCAAATAGTTGCAAAGATTTCATTATGAAATTTTAAAATCAGATTTTCAAAATCAATTCTCATTTCTGCCTGCCCATGTAAAGTCTGCTACATCCTCAGTTTTTTGTTGTCATATCAAAGCAATCAGTAGGTCTCCAAAATATCTTTACACAGGAAAATGATTGGAATCATGGGTATCAGAAACAGTCTCTAGTTCTAAAAGTCTCCTTGACACACTGTGCAACCCTGATCCATGTGGAGACTTCCTTCATTTTGATCACCGCTACTTAACTCTTCCTGCTGATCCAAAATACATGAGATGAAATGGATGCTGAATATTGAGCTAGAAAGTCACAGTATTCAAAGGATACTCAATAAAAAGTTATTTATTGCCTAGAAATCAAATGATCTCAAGCATTACTGTGGTTCATGTTTTACAAATAAGTTTTATAAAATATAATTTAAAAACATTCTGTATATGGCAGATGCTCTTTTAAAAGATCTCTTTATGAATTATCTTATTTGATCTCCAACAACCTTAAGAGATAAGTACTAGTGTAGCTCTGGTTTTTAAATCCCTGAGAGTGAGTTCATAGTTCAAAGTCACTCAACTAATAAAAGGAGAATAGAACTTAAACCCATGCAGCCTAACTTCCAAGTCTCTAATTTCAAACCTTACAATTTCATCTATATGTCTGTATTGTTCTTCACTAATGTATGTAATTTCATTGAGCCTTGCATATAAATGCTTGTGATGCAAAATCACATATTATTTTTCTCAGACAACTGAATATTAGAGAGGTTCATTGCACAGCTTCTCAGTGGCAAAACCAGGAACTTAAAACCAGGTATCTTAGAACCCATGGAAAGATGGACCTTGCAGTTCAGTGCATTATTTTGCAGCCTATATGTGTATTGGGGGAGGACACAGCCTATATGCGTATTGGGGGAGGGATTGCTTTCAAGATCCAAACCAACAAACAGGCAGTTAAGGCTTTCAGATTTGTTTAAACAAAGTTTAAACAAATCTGAAAGCTTTAAATGCTGTGTCCTCCCCCAATACACATATAGGCTGCAAAATAATGCACTGAACTGCAAGGTCAGTTTGAACCACACAGTCGGTGGTTCAAACCCACCACCCACCCGCTCCTAGGAAACCCTACAATATATCACTGTGAGTCGGAACCCACCTGGCAGCACTTAACACCAACATAATTTGTGCAGAAACTCTGATTAGAGAGAGAAGAAAAGTACAACTCACATTGAAGTGGCTTAGCTTAAGTGGGAGTCCTGGTGTCGCGTCAGCACTGGACTGCAAACCACAGTATTAGCAGTTCAAACATACCAGCTGCTCCTCTGAAACCCAATACAGGGTCCCCATGAGGCAGAATTGACTTGATGACACTTAAAAACTAGCTCAAGTCTGAACAGGGCCTGTACTTGAGGAGAGAGAAGCTATTAGCCCTCCTTCCTTAAAAAATAATTGCATTCAAAAGACTTTTATCATCCTTGGCAAAATAGATCAGATCTATGGCTGATTAAAATAATGATCGTGTAAATCTTCACTGTCTCCTGATTTACATATTTCTCCTTGTATTAGAATAACTCATAGAAAGACTCTACAAAGGGAGGCAACTGTGTTTGAAGTTGCACTAGGGAAATCAATACAGTTAGTGAATGACTTATTTGAGGATACATATAAGGAAGATTTTTATCAAAATACCATCAATTTTAGAAGTAGAAGAAATTCTAGAGATAACATATTTAAATAAGCTATTTTTGTAAAGCCTGTTATTTTTTTTTAAAATGTCTAGCCTAAGATCGCATATTAGAACATTGCCAGGTTGGAATTTTTTACTAGAGCAATGAAGATCAGAGAGGTTAATTATCCAGTTTGTAAGTGGGAGTCCTGGTTTGGCACTTTAGGTTAAAGTACTGGACTACTAATCATAAGGTCTGCAGTTCAGACTCACAAGTCGCTCCTCAGAAACCCTATCTAGAGTCACTATGAACTAGAACCAGCTCGACCTCACTAAACAACAACCACAACAAGTGACAAAACCACAACTCTCTATCGTAGTTTCATTTGAGTTAGTGTAACCAAAGGTATTTTGTTGTTGATTCATAGCACTCCTGTGCACAATAGAATGAAACCCTGCCAGCTCCAACACCACCTTTGTTGTTGTTATCTTTGAATCCATTGTTGTTGTTCTGTGATAATCCATCGTGATGGGTGGCTTCCTTTTTTTTGCTGACACTCCACTTTTCTGAGCATGGTGCTCTTCTCCAGGGATGGTCACTTCTGGCAACTTGTCCAATTACAAGAGATAAATGCTCACTATCCTCACTTTTAAGGAGCATTCTGGCTATACTTCTTCTAACACTGATTTCTTGTTTTTCTGGAAGTCCGTAGCACTTTCAATATTCTTTGCCAACACCATAATCCAAATGCATCAATTCTTCTATGATCTTCCTTATTAACTGTGCTCTTTTCACATATATTTGATAAAATTAAAACTATCATCATTTGGGTCAAGCGCACCTTAGTTCTCAAAATGACATCTTTATTCTTGAGCACTATTTTTAAAAACACATTTTATTGTAAATTGAGTGAAGGGTTACAGACAAGATTATCAGTTTTCCATTCAACAAATCATACACTTTGTTTCATCTCAATTATTGTAAGCCTCTTCATGCAACAACAATTAT